AGCCACTGGTGAAATTTTCTAAAACACAATTTTAATGATAAGGGCAGGAACAGTAGTATGAATAGTAAGATATTAATTATGTGAGTTTTTGAAAAATGCATATGTGAAGGAGCCAGAATAGTCCTGGAATCACATGACAGAAATGTTATGGTTACTTCTTTTTCTCTTTCTCTTTTTTTTTTTTTGTCAGTCATGGGCTTGAACTCTGGGCCTGTCGCTGTCCCTCAGCTCTTCAGCTCAAGGCTAACACTCTACCACTTGAGCCACCGCCACAGTTCCACTTCTGGTTTTTGAGTGGTTTATTGGAGATTAGAGTCTCACAGACTTTCTTGCCAGTGCTGGCTTTGAACTTCACTCCTCAGATCTCAAGCTCCTGAGTAGCTAGGGTTACAGGCATGAGCCACTGGCGCCTGGTGGTTATGCTTACTTTTTTTTTTTGTCGGTCCTGGGGCTTGAACTCTGGGCTTGGGTGCTGTCCCTGAGCTCTTCAGCTCAAGGCAAGCGCTCTACCGCTTGAGCCACAGTGCCACTTCCGGTTTTTGAGTGGTTTATTGGAGATAAGAGTCTCACAGACTTTCTTGCTCGGGCTAGCTTTGAACCGTGATCCTCAGATCTCAGTCTCTTGAATAGCTAGGATTACAGGCGTGAGCCACTGGCGCCCAGCAGTTATGGTTACTTCTAAGGAGAGGAGGACTTGGAGAAGACTAAATCACTCGTGTCCTTTTGTCCCTTTTGAACTTGTATTTAAAGCTGGGTACAGTGGTACATGCCTGCAATTTCAGCTACTTGGGAGATCAAAGCAGGAGGATGGCAAGTTTGAGACTAGTTTGGGTAACTTGGTGAGATCCTGTCTTCAAGTAAAATTTGAAAGGTTTGGGGGTGCAGGTAAGTGGTAGAGTTTGTGCCGCATGCTTGACACCCTAAATTCAAATCACCAATAATAGCAGAGAGAGAGAAAAAAATTAAAATGAACTAAAAACTGTCATTAGTTCTTATTTTTTAAATCAAACAAAGGCAAAATATATAGGTAGGTGATAGATAGTCAGACAATCTGTATTTTCACAGTATGGCTCCCTAGGGTTGCTTAAGTTCAAGCAATATCCCCAGGTACCAACTCACCTGGTGACTGAACGGGTCAGCCAGAGGCTGCCAAGTTCTGAAAACAAGTTAAATATTTCACTAGAGCAAAGTTACAAAGATGTTGGGGACAAGGAAAAACTTGATCTGACCCAAGTGCTTCAGCCTATAGATGAAAAATGAAACAAACCAGAAAGCTATTATTTTCATGGGATGTAAAAATATTTCTCTTCTAAGAAGTTAGTTCCAGGGCTAGAGTACAGCTCAGTGATAGAACACATACAAGCTCCTGGAGGCCCTGGATTCCATCTCCAACAAAAAAGTTTCCATCCTAGGTAACATTTTAAAGCAGAAAAGCACAAGGAAAATGTTTTAAAAATCATTTCAAACTTAACTCTCAGTAATGACGTTATACTTTGGTGTGAATATGTGTATATCTGCTCATGTAGGATCAGAAAAGATCTACCACTTTGTAATCTCATTCTTTCCTATTTAAAAATATAGTATCTTGGGGGCTGGTGGAGTGGTTCACATGATGGAGTGTCTGCCTACAAATGCAAAGCCCTGAGTTCAATCCCCAATCCAATAAAAATAAATAAAAACACAATGCTGTCTGTAGCATTAAATGCCATTTTACAACATAATTTTCAGTGTTTGTACAGTGCGCCAATAGAACTTTTCACTACTCTTACCAAGTTCCCACACTGGACATTAAGTTGTTGTTCCTTTTTTTTCTGGCTACATAATTCTAAATGATAACTAATGCCAACCATTTATTTTTAATTTAATTCTAATTTTGAATTAGCATGCATAAATAAATGAGTGGGGTTTGTTATGATACTACCACAGATACAAACAGTGTACGTTTAGTGATCTCTGGCTTCCATAAATACTCCATTTCCTTTTTCCCTTCCTTCTTTCCTTCTGTCTTTCACAAAGTATTTATTGGGACAGGTCTGTAGCTCAGTGGTAGAACATGCTCAAGGCCCTAGGTACCATCCCCAACACCATGGAATAAACACTAATTAAGAGCAACACAACCAGGTTTAAATAAAGCAACTATAAAAGACATATGAGGTCTGGAAAGGTGGCTCAGTGGTCGAGTGCTTGCCTTGCATGCATGAGGCCCTAGGTTTGATTCCTCAGTACCACATAAGCAGAAAAACCAGAAGTGTAGCTGTGGCTCAGGTGGTAGAGCACTGGCCTTGAGCTGAAGAGCTGAGGGACAGCGCCCAGGCCCAGAGTTCAGGCCCCACAAGTAACAAAATAAAAGAAAAAGAAAAAAAGACATATGAGACATTTGTGGCAATTTGTAGACTAGCCTTTCATAATGTTAAGAAATTACTATTGTGTGAGAATGGTTGCATGGTTAGATAAAAATTCTCATTTTTTTCAGAGAGTACTATTATTCTTAAAGATGTCAGCATAATTGCAATTTGCTTTAAAACACTTTTGCCAGAAAAATGAAACAAATACAGAACATGATAATTGTTAGATTTATACTATTGCTTGCTTTCTGTATATTTGAATTTTTCATTAAAATGTTTTAAAGATGAATACTTTGGGCTAAGCACTGGGCCGTGAGCTGGGAGTTTAACAGAGAGCAATATCGACCTCTACTGCTCTCATGGAGTGCACTATCTTTGGGAGCAGTTTCCATCAGCAAGTCTCAGATGTAACTGGACTGTTGCCTGGAGGGCAGATGTGGGCCTGGGTTTTCTGGTTCTCTACATCCTGTCATCACTGTCAGAATATTTCACAAGCCAAAAAACTACCTTCCCAGTATCTCAGGGTCTTAGAAGACTTCTCAAAGAATAGTGTGGTAATGACATGTCAAAAAATAGCTCAGAGCCGGGCGCTGGTGGCTCACGCCTGTAATCCTAGCTACTCAGGAGGCTGAGATCTGAGGATCGCGGTTCAAAGCCAGCCCAGGCAGGAGAGACCGTGAGACTCCTATCTCCAATAAACCACCAGAAAACCGGAAGTGGCGCTGTAGCTCAAGTGGTAGAGGGCTTGCCTTGAGCTGAAGGGCTGAGGGACAACGCCCAGGCCCAGAGTTCAAGCCCCACTGCCGACCAAAAAAAAAAAAAAAAGTAGCTCAGAGTCAGGCACCCAGTGATTCATACCTGTAAGCCTAGCTACTCGGAAGGCTGAGACCTAAGGATCATGGTTTGAAGCTAGTTGGGGCAGGGAAGTCTATGACAGTCTTATTTCCAATTAACCATAAAAAGCGAAAGTGGAGCTATAGGTCACACTTGAGCTAGCCTTGAGAAAAAAAAAAAAAAAAAGCTAAGGAACAGCACCCAGACCCTAAATTCAAGCCCTAGAACCACTACACACACACACACACACACACACACACACACACACAGAGCTCTGTGGTATGTGGCATTCCTGCAGTTCTGTACAGCAAATGTTTCCTGGATATCCACATATGATTGGCATTGTGAAGGTACCAGGACTGCCAAATGTAAATTGCATGGCCCGCAAATTCCCTGCTTATAATTTAGGGGAAGAGATGAACCCTGCACCCAACCCAGCCAGGGGAAGGGGAGTTGGCAGGAAGAATGGTCAGGCAGCCATCTTCACTGATAGAATGCAAGAGCCAGCAGAGCTGCTTAGAAAAGGGGTTGATGAACAGCCAGCCAGCCCCACGGAGGGGCTGGAAAGACTCAAAGCATACAAGAGTAGATGAGGTAGTACCGGCATCCCGGAGATCAGTGATTGGCAAACTTCTCTAAAAGGCTAGCTGGAGAACTTATGTTTTACAGATCGAGGTAAAATGGAAGGTCTCATGTCGCTATCTATATACAACCAGGGAGAAACTTTTTTTTTTTGGCTGACAACATTCAAAACTTTATTTAAAGACTCTGAAATTTAAATTTCTTATCATTTTCCCGGTCAGAACTGTTATTCTTTTGTGTGTTTGTTTATTCCTCACTACTGATTATGTAAAAAAGCATTCCTATTTCATGGACAGTCCCCAATCAGACTCATATACTTTGCATCCTCCTACCTAACACGCGGTGTGGTTGTTACCCAGATGGCTTGTTTGGGGGTGTGAGTAGGGGGAAGCTCTCAGCTCTGCTCCCCAGAAAGGGACTGATGGCACTGTTACCACCGGGTAACCAGCTGGGGTTGTATGGGTAGTCACTTAACCTCTCTGATCTGTTTCCTCACCCCCAAAACCCGAGGACAACCACCACCTTACAGGCAGTGTGAAGGGGGGAAAAGGCGTCTAAGCCATCCTTCTTTGCGCACAAGAAGCGTGGGTTTGAGGATGGAGACCCAAGACCCAAGGGACTTCCAAAGAACCCAGGGCAGTGGACCGGCTCCGGACCATGGCGGGCCCTCCAGAGCAAGGGGTGCGATGCGATCCACGCTGTGGTGTACACAGCAGGCGCCCAGGGCCGTCGGGGGAGGGGGGGCGCAGGAACTAGCCTCGTCTTGGCTCCCCATCTTGGCTCCCCATCTTGGCTCCCCATCTTGGCTCCCCGCGGCCCCGGATCCCGCCACCGGTGCACTGCCGCGACCTCCCCTCACCCCCACCCCACCCCACCCCAGCTTGGTCCCCAGAGCCACCGGGGCCGCGCCACAGCCCCTGGGGAAACCGCGAGGATTTCCCATTGGTGCGCCTGGGACTCTGGGGCCCCGGGGCGCAGCAGGTCCGGAGGCGCGCACGCGGCGCTGACCTCGCTGCCTCCGGGGGCAAATCTCGGTCCCGTGGGGCGGGGCGGGCGGGCTCAGGCGCTTGGGGTGCGCCCAGACTTGTTGCACAACTGGTGCCGGGCAGCTATAAGAGGGGCCGGCAGGCATGGAGCTCCATAGGAATCCCGGAGCCAGAAGCTGCGAGGTAAGACTCGCTCTCCTCCTCTACTGTGTCTTTTCTCGGCAGGTCGCGGCACCAGCACTACCCTCTGTGGACTTCGCGGAGGGGGAAACAGAGGCAGGTGAGAGACTGTGCGGAGGGCTGGGTTGTGGACTTCGTGGCTTTGAGCTGACTCCTAGCATTGCGGGAGTTGGGGAGCGCTGGATTCCTGGTTGGGTTGGGCAGGAAACTGTCCTTGCACAGCCAAGGCCGCAGGAGATCGTCCAGTCTGCAGAGGTGAGATGCTTTGGGAATTCCCTGGAGGAGAGATCCCTGAAGGTCAGGGTGCCTCAGTTCCATGTGGAAGGAATAAAGTTGGTCAAGCATGGGAGTCAGGTGCAAGCGTCGGATACGGATTAGAGAGCCTTGCTCTGCCTGCAGGAATTCAGACCTCGTTTTCCAGTGTGGGCCCCCGATCAAGAAGTGGGAAGGATCACATAGGCTGACATCTGGGCCTAGAACTACTGTGGGGGAAGAGGTGGCCAGGAAGGCCGGGTGCCAGTGGCTCATGCCTGTAATCCTAGCTACTTAGGAGGCTAAGATCTGATGATCGCAGTTCAAAGCCAGCCCAGGCAGGAAACTCCGTGAGACTCTTATCTCCAATTAATAACCAGAAAACTGAAATTGGCCCTGTGGCTCAAGTGGTAGAGCATTAGTCTTGAGCTGAAGAGGTGAGGCACAACGCCCAGGCCCAGAGTTCAAGTCCCACAACCGACCCCCTCAAAAAAAAAAAATCTGACAGGAAGAACCCAACTGTCCCTGAGAAACTACCAGGGCCTTCCATATCTGTTGCAAAGCTGCATAAATCACATCTTTGAGGCACAGGGTGACAAGTCTCTGGGGCACAGAGGTCCGGTTTGTGGAAAAGTAACCTTCAGGGTCGGTTTGTTTGTTTGCTTGCTTGTTTTTTTAAATATTGTTGTGCATTTCTAACCAAAATGGCTGAATATAACTGCCAATAGGTGAGCTCCAGGACCCTTTTCAGCCCTTCCTCCAACCTTCCTTCTGCCTGGGCTTGTATTAAACTTAGTGGTGTGTGGTTTGCCTTAAAGGTTCTGGCACTTTTGAACAGTAACCTTTTAAATACTGCTAGATCAAGTAAGACGAGGGGCCTGGTTGGTAGTGGTGGTAGTGATAGTGGGGTGCATGTGCGCCCCCCCCATGTGTGGGTGTACATGTGCGTGTGATGTGTGTGTCTGTGTCTGTCTGTCTGTCTGCTTTAGAGAGAACAAGATGATTTGTTTCTGTTGGAGATGGTCTTCAGGGGCCACAGCAGAGGGCAGGCACTTGATACTGCTGTCTGGGTATTCTGCTGGGTAGCAGTTGCCTCTCTTGGCTCTGATTATGTTCATTCTACAGAGTTCTGTGAGGTGGGAAGTGGTCCACTGGGACTGGGACAGAGTTTTCAATCCCTTTCCTGCTAGAAGGTTCTATGGGAACATTTTGATGGAATGACTTGGTTGTTCCTGCTTGAATGTCCTGGGAAAGGCAAAGACCGTATCAATTATTTATCATATAGAGGTGAGGAGAGAAGCAAAGAAGAAATGGATGCTTTGGGGTTATTTCTTTTCTCAAGCAACTGAGGACACTGGGCTGAGGAGAACATCTCCATTTGGCCAAAGAACACCCTTCTTGTGTGTGTGTGTGTGTGTGTGTGTGTGTGTGTGTGTGTTTCTAGGGCTGAGAACCGAACCCAGGGCCTTGCGCGCGCCAGGCAGGTGCCCTTCCGCTGGGCTAAACCCCCAGCCCCCCTTCTTGTGTTTTGTACGTACTATCCCCCAAGTCACTCTTCTTAGTATCTGTGGGAAATACTTTCCTCCCCCTTTTCCAGGAAATAGTTCCAAGTGCTAAGGACAGAACCAGAGAGCTTGCTGCTCACCCCCAGGCAGATGGATGCCTCACGTCTCAGTGACCTACACGGAGTACAGAGATAGCCATCTAGAAGACCTCTTATCATTGAAATAGCCCTAGTCATTGCCCTACCCCAGCTTAGATGCCCCCAGGAGAAAATAGGAGCCAGGAATAGAAAAGGGACTCCAGGGAGATGGAATAGCTATAGGTGTGCATTCCTGAGCAACACCTGTGGATTAGTGGAAAGTCCAGCCAGATTATCTGGCTGCCAGTCACTCAGTAGCCTCTATCTCCATTGTGCTGGGTTGGGAAGAAATATTTTAGAAACCATAGATCCATGTGGCTCTGGGAAGAGCACCTTGAAATTCTTCTCTCTCCATAAAATGATCTCTCAGAAATGGAAAGAGAGGTTGTTTCTGCTTAAGAACAGCACACAAGGCCTAGAGCTGGAGGCTCGTGCTGTTAATCCTAGCTAGTCCTTCATTCATCTGAGGATCACAGTGAAAAATCTGTCCAGGTAGAAAAGTCCATGATACCCTTATTCCCAATTAACCAACAAAATAGTGGGCTAGAGGCATGGATCAAGTGGCAGAGCATCAGCCATGAATGAAAAGGCTAAGCAAAAGCATAAAGCTCTGCATTTAAGCCTAGTACAGTACAAGATAGATAGATAGATAGATAGATAGATAGATAGATAGATAGATAGATAGATAGATAGATAGATAGATAGATGATAGTCAAATAGAGCATATGTGGTGCCCAGGCCCACAGACTCCTTTGTAGTTGTTCCACACGTGACAGCAGCCTTGCTCCTCAGCAACCTGTATGTTTCTCTCTTTCCTAGTATTTGTTAGCTCTCTGAATCTGAATCCATAATCAGTGTCCAGGCTGACATTTCACCTCTATCACAGAAGATTTAGCCCCCATCTGTTGTATATTGTGTATGCAGCTTGGATAGGAATATGACCTAACTCTGCAGGGAAGCCATTGAAAGACAGGAAGGCAGAACAGGGCTCTTGCAAGGCCCAGGGAGGGCCAGAATGCAGGAGCAGTGCCTGGGCTTGTGAATGGGTACACTGTGCAAAGGGGTTGTGAATGAGTTTACCGTGCAGAAGGGTTGGGATGGAAGTCCAGACAGAGACCAGCTCAGCTGAAAGAACTCAGGGCCATGTGAATGCATGGGGTTGACCAAAGTACCTGAAAAGGAACATTTGTACACTAAAGCACTTTCTGTCTCCATTAAGACAGCTTCTTAGAAGTTTCTGTTGGGCAAAAGTGAATTCCAACAGCAACATTCACATGGGAGCAGGTGAGCTGGCATAGAGGTAGGTTAACTTTTTGTTTTGTTTTGTTTGCCAATGAGGACCAAGGATAGGCAATATTTCATTTATTCATTCAACAAATACATAACAAACACCTGCTCCATGCCAGACCTTTGATGAATGCTGGAACAAGTGTATAATTAATGGTGGCACCATCTTCCTCTGAGTCAAACTGGAACGGCAGATTACCCATCTACACTGCACCAGGGAGCCACTAAAAACTGATCAGAGTTGACACTGGCTGTGAAATCTATTTGCTTTCCTTGATAGAATAGATCGACCAGTAGTTTCTGATGAATGGAAGGAATATAAGCTCCTCATCCACACCCTGATACCAGCTAGGTATGTTAACATGATTTCTCAAATGAAGTTTTTCGTTGCAAAAGAAGGGAGAATCTCTCCTGCTAGCTCAGTGACTTTTAAAAATTGTGTATTTTGGCCAACATTTGAAAAATGAAACTGGGCACCAGTGACTCACACCTATAATTCTAGCTGTCCAGCCTTAGGGGGGAAAAATCTTGAAACTCCATCTCAACAGGAAAAGCTGGGTATAATGGTAGAAGTGTAAATAGGAGGATCACAGTTCAGGCTGGCCTGAGGCAAAAAACACAAAACAAACAAAAAGAAAACCCAGCTTGACTCTAAAAAATAAGCACAGCAAAATGGGCTGGAGATACTGTTTAATTGCCTAACAAGCACAAGGCCATGAGATCAAATTCTAGTACTACCCATCCCCCCACCCCACCAAAAAGGGGGAAAATTAACTGAAACTCTCAAGAGTTCCAGTTCACATACAGTAAAGGTAAATTGTTTATTTGTGACATGGTCTTGCTTACATAGCCCAGGCTAGTCTGGTCTTGTTTTCTCACAAAATACAGCAAATATATTACCCAAGCTAATATTTTTATTTGAAATATATTTTAATTGCCACACAGTAATTGTACACATTGATTGATGGAGTATTTCAATTCATGTTTATAATGGACAATGATCAGATCAAGGTAACTGGCACACAAGTCAGCTCAGACATGTACCATTTCTTCATTTGGGGAACTTTAATATTGATTATGTCTTGGCTATTTAAAATTGATTAATTGTGGTCAATCATAGCTATGCTACCAAGCTGTAAAACATTAAGACATGATTCCTCCTGTCCTTGTAGCTAGTAACTGTCCTCTTGCCATACATCCTTCTCAGGTTCTGGGAACCATAGTTTATTCTCTTCTCCTTCCTCTTCTACTTCTTCTCCTTCATCTTCTCCTTCTTCGCCTTCTCCTCCTCCTTCTTCGCCTTCTCCTCCTCCTCCTCCTTCTTCTTCTTCTCTTCCTCCTCCTCCTCTTCTTCCTTCTCCTCTTCCTCTTCCTCCTTCCCTTGTTTTATCTTCTGCCTTCATCTTCGTCCTCCTTCTTTTCCTCTTTTTCTTCCTCCTCCTTACAGTTCTGTGCTTTCTTAACATGTGCTCTACCACTTGAGTCATACTTCTAGCCCCTTTTGCTCTAGCTAGTTTTGAGAGAGAGTCTCTCTCTTCCCTTACCTCCCAGGTCAGTCTCAGTCCTTACTTCTCCCAATCTCAGGTGAATGCCAGATGTCCAGCATGGGTTTAGATGGGGGGTCTTAGTAACTTCTTGCTTGAGCTGGCCTTGAACCAAGAGCTTCCTTATTCTACTTTCTGGGTAGCTGTGATTACAAGCATGACCCACCATACCAAGCTTCTCTTCTCTACTTTTTTGAGAATAACTTAACATAATATCCCTAGTTCCATCCATGGTACTACAAATGGTAGAATGTCATTCTTTTTTTGTGATTGAATAGTATCCCCTTGTGCATGTGAACTCGAGTTTTCTCCATTAATTCATCCATCAGTGGACACCAATGTTGATATCATATTTTGTCTGCTGTAAATAGCATTGTAATAAATATAGGAGTACATACTAAGTTAATTTCTGTTGGTTATATATCTAATAGTGAGACTGCTGGTAGTTCGAATTCCATTTTCTGGTGGAAACTCTATACTGTTTTATGTAACTGTACTAACTTACATTCCTACACATAGAAGATGAGGTTCCCTATTTGCCAATCCTTACCAGCATTTGTTACCTCTCCTCTTTCTGACAATCACCATTCTAACTGTGGTGAAGTGATAGTTCATTATGGTTTTGAATCTTATTTCTCTGCTGATTATAAATCTGAGGGTTTTTTTTTTTTTTGGTCAGTCATGGGGCTTGAATTGTGGGCCTGAGTGCTGTCCCTGCGCTCTTCAGCTCAAGGCAACTGCTCTACTGCTTGAGCCACAGCACCACTTCTGGTTTTTGAGTGGTTTATTGGAGATAAGAGTCTCCCAGACTTTCCTGCCAGGGCTGGCTTTGAACCGAGATCCTCAGATCTCAGCCTCCTGAGTAGCTAGGATTACAGGCTTGAGCCACCGGCGCCCGGCTTTAAATCTGAGTATTTTTTCATATACCTGTTGGTCAAATGTTATCTGAATTTAATTCACATTAGTATGCAGAAAACTACCAGAGAGAAAGGTGTAAAAAACAAATGGCTGAATTTTTTTTAAAAAAAGAGAGAAAGAAGTGTGCTAGGTCCCTTGCTATGTATCCTCTAGTACCTTCAACCAAGGAAGATAGACAGAGTACAAGGCAGCCTCTGCCAGTGAATGGCTCTGTGACCCAGAGTCATTCCAACTTTCCCCCCAACACTACATAAGAAGTCAGGGGACTGACCTGGCCTGGGCTCAGCTGCCCTCCACCCTGAACGTAGAGAAGCAGGCAACATCCCTGCCCATCCCATCTTGACCTAAGGTCCACTAGTTCTGCCTGCCCCTGGCTGGAGGAAAATGAGGGAGCTCCCATCTGGCGGTCATTAGCATGATGGGAGATGCAAAGGCTTGGTCATATCTGTAGAGAAAGAGGGTGGGTAAGAGATACCCACTGGAGAATTGCCATGTGGGCAGAAAGTCTGCCCTAGACCTAGGTCTAGTCAGAGATGGGAAACTGGTGGGCTGATGGGATGGTTATATAAGCCTCTCCCTCTCGCTTTAAGTCTATATCTGTAGCCACATTTTACTGGTGCTGCCCCAGGAGCTCCATTTTCTGGGGAGAGGGTGTGTGTGTGTGTGTGTGTGTGTGTGTGTGTGTGTGTGTGTGTGTGTGTTATTGTTTGAACTCAAGGTCTCATCTTGCTCTGAGGTGCTCTACTGCTGAGCCATACCCCCAGCCCCTTTTTCACAGGTTACCTTTTGAGAGAGCATCTCACTTCCTACCTGGGGAACCTGCCTGAACTTCCATTTACCTATTGTAGGCTTCCTACTGTAGCTAGGATGACAGGTGCACACCTCTACCCCCAGCTATGGGTAGGGGAGGAGTCTTGTAAACTTTTCTTCTTGTTCTGGTCCAAAACTATGAAGAAAGGCAGTCTGTAGGAAAGCCAATGTCAGGGGGTGAGAGAGAAGAGTGATATTAAATAGGCTTAGGCCTATTTAAATATACTTAAGCCTCCTGGGAATCCTTAGCCTCTACACCCTGTTCTCCGCGCCCCCCCTTCCTCCACAATTCCTGATTCCTGATTTGCTGTGTTCTATGTCCTTTTGATATGTGTACCTGGCCCACAATGGCTATTGCTCACTGTATGTTAGCTGCCAGCCATCAAATCACTGATGAGTAATTCTTGCATATTGGCATGGAGCTCAATGAAGCTGAATTTATTGTCTTGAATTATCCTGCCTCTCCCTAGGCCCTTCCCTTCCTAGCTACTTTCCCTCCTCTTATCAGGCTCTAACCAACAATGTACTCCTTAGGTATTGAAATTCAGGTGATAACTAGTTGCCTCCAAAGGATTATATATGTTGATGTGGCTCTGTGTGTGATGCAAGTGTGCTTGTGTGCGGTGTGTGTTGGTGCAGCAGGTACTCACCGTTACTTTGATCTCAGGTGGATTTGCCATTCCTACACCCCTTTGCAGCCTCTAAGCCTGGCTTCTTCTCTTAGGCACACTTACAGCAACAGTTACTCAATTCCATGCTTTATTGCTTTTCAGCATTCACTGAGGCATATTATCAGGGCTTGTAAACCTGGTTTTCCATTCAGGCAATAGCGGGTGACCATTATGTAAGAATGGCTGTGATGTGACCACAGTTGATCAGACAGTAAATTTTCTCTACAAGGAGGGTATCCTCAGCACATAAATCTTAGAAAATCCTGAAATGCAATCTTGTGATTCAGGGACAGACTTAGAAATGCCAGGTGCCCTGTTGAGATGGCCTGTGGGAGGCAGGGGGCCAAATACTTGATTCACAGCTGGCTACAGGTGGTGTGCCCTGAGCATTCCAAGCTCTGCACAGCAATTACAATAATTTTTCAACAGCTGGCATTTACTCCCCAAAACTTGAGCCAGACACACGCATTGTGGACAAGGGCTACACAGGTTCTCATTTACCCTTTTGATCAGAGTAGTAGAGACAGCTCTGTCACTGTATCCAGGAAGATACACAGACTTCTGGTTCCTCCTATCTTTGCTGGGATTTCAGACAAATAGTACTGTATGGGAGATGCATTGCAAGACTCCATTAGATACCTGACATTTCTGGCAGGACTGAAGTCCATGTTGCTAAATTATCCCCTGTAAGGCCGGCATCATTGCCACTTATTACAGTAGAACAGATTTATTCTGTCATTCCATGTCTCATGCATCCTTTGGGGCCATTATTTTATAAAATAAGGGTTACTTAAATACAAGCACTATGAAACCATTACAGTGGGTCCAATAACTGAGACAATTACTAAGTGACTAATGGGGAAGTCATCTATACAGTATAGATACACTAGAGAGAAACATTTACATGTCCCAGGTGGGATGGATGAGAAGGTATGAGACTTCAACACATTAGTCAGAATGGCACTATTTAAAGCTTATGAATGGGCTCATGTTAAATTTTCCATTTGAGGCCATAGATGACCTTGGAAAGCAAAACCAAGGACTGGTATATTCAAGTCTGCTGAATAAACATCCTGGCTTTGACACTTAACCTATTTGACTTTAGGCAAATTGGTTTGTCTTCCTGAGGCTCATTTTTTTCTCTGTAATAAAATTCAGATGAAAACAACAACAACAATGACATGTCTTTGATTAAACATTATAAATAATATATAAAGAGATTGCTTATTTTAATTTGTTGCCAAAAATGAATTATACTAATATTTTAATGGACCAAAAAATGTATTACTTGGTTCCATCATGACCCAGATGAGGAAGAAACAAAAGGAGCAGTTAACTTCCTTCCCATGTCCAGAATTTCACCCTAATATTTACCTACATATTATTATTTTGGGCTCATACACATATGCTTAGCATGGATCACTGGCTACAAACTTGCATGCATTTGATTTTATTACATTTGCCTCATGTATCTCATTAAAACTTAGCTTCTTAATCAAGGATCTGCATGTTATTAATTTTAGAGTTCACAGCTCTGTGACTTTGTAAGTTTGACGTATTCTATGTGAAAGTGTTGCATTCTCTCTTGTCTCTATTTACAGTTGATCACTTGGCCACTTGCAATAACTGCTTTCTACTCTTCCTAACTCCTTCTTGGTCATTAATCTCCAGATAAGGTGACCTCTCTTCCAGGCATCCTCCTTAGGACTCATGCACTGTCTGGAACTCTCCTGCTTGCAAAGCTCTCCCTTCCTGTGTTGCTCTACATTGCCTTGCCTGTTAAGCCATGAGACATTGGAATGTAGGGAGGATCTGGAGTTTTTCCTTGGTTCCTTGGTATCTAGCATTGCATCTGACTGGTTATTCCATGGCAGAGAAGTTCTACTTAGATTCAAGTTCCCCAGGGGAAAGGTCATCACAACCATAGCAGCAGGCTGTTGAGAAAATAATGGAAGAGCAAGGAAGTAACATCTCTATATGACAGGGAAATGAAACACTGAGTTCACAAGCCCCTTCCATTCTTTCTCATGTATTATCTAATTTGTTCCTCATAAAAGCTTAGAGAGAGGTGGAGTTTTGAGCGGTTGCGTGATATGTCTAAAGTTCTGTAGTAAGTAAATGACTAGATTCCAACAGAGCCTTTATCAATTGGTTCTCTTTCCTTGAAGCACACAATGAAGCCTCCCCACCCCCATCACGGCCACTGGGTAATTTGATCACTCCTGGGCTCACTGCTCTGTGGTCTACAAACATGTTATCGTGGTTTTATGGATGGGGCAATATGCCTCTTCCCAAGGGCATGCTTTATTAATCTAGATCTAGACAGCAAATAATCTTTGGCTTTGAGGAGATGATAGCTCTGGCAGAAAGTGTTTTTATCCATATCTGGCAATGTGGTTAGTAGCAGGGCAGATGGATCTATTCTGATACCAGCCTCTTGTAATGTGTGGTTCTTTGTATTTTCAGATCCAAGAAACTCATCCTGAGATTGAAAAAATGCGCTGGGGATTCCTGTGCCAGTTTCTGTGGCTTTGGTACTATCTATGCTATGTTCAAGCTGTGCCCGTCCAGAAAGTCCAGGATGATGCCAAATCCCTCATAAAGACCATTATCATCAGGATCAATGACATTTCACACATGGTAGGGACGGGCAGGGAGTGGGGAACAAAATAGAACTATGGGCCAGCCCATAGTTCTTATGATGGTTCCTTAATCCAAGAAATATTTATTAAGCACCTTCTGAATGCCAGGCACCTTGGAACCTGAGGATGATTTCAAGGCACAAGGCTGCCATTCTTTCTGGTTGTTTCTCTTTAGTGGTTCTACTATGAAACCATTGTAAGAAAAAGAATACTTTGCCATATGCTACCGCCTAAAAAGAAATCATAGTGGTAGGTGAGGGGGAGGGAAAGAGGGAGAAAAATGAGGGAGGGGGTAACAAGTTAGACAAGATGTACTCACTTACGTAATTACTTACGTAATTGTAACCCCTTTAAAAAAAAAAAAAGAAATCATAGAGCTAGGAGCTGGTGGCTCATACCTATAATCCAAGAAATCTGAGGATCTTGGCTTGAAGCCAGCCCAGATGGAAAAATCTGTGAGACTCTTATCTCCAAGTAACTGGCAGAAAGTTGCAAGTGGGAATATGGCTCATATGGTAGAACAATAGCCTTAAGCAAAAAAGCCAAATGAGAGTGTGAGTTCAAGCCCCAGAATAGGTATAAGGGGGGAAGGAAGGAAAGAAAGAAGGAAGGAAGGAAGGAAAAGGATTCTCTGATATTATGAAGCCCCAGAATGTTCTATGATGGCAACCCCAGACCTCAAAGGTTAGCTGAGGCAGGTGCAGTGGCAGGTAAATGTATAGTAGCTTTGCTTCCTCCCTCATCACTGACCACTTCCTGTCTCATCCTCTCCCCTCTGCCTCCCTTCATCTCCATCTTCCTTGACATCAGGGGAAGCTATAAAGTTTCCTGTGTCTTATTGGCTAGTGGGCAGATCCCCAGCAGCACGCTTGCCAGGCATCTACCCCATCTCTAGATGTATAAAGAATTAGGGTTCTTGTAGTTTTAGCTGTGGCCTCTCTCATCACAGCTTATCCTGCTTTCTAGCAATGAGGAGCAAGTTTTCCCTCCTTCACCATCAGGCCTCTGAGTATTTATTAACAGTTGTTATTGCCCACCTTAGACTTCCTCTGGGGTCTGACAGACTATACCTTCAGCTGTTTCCCAGATGGGTCTATAATTGACAAGAAGAAGCCTAAGTAAATCTTGCAATCTTTTGTGTGTATGTGTGTGCCCCAGTAGCGATGTTTGAACTCAGGGCCTAGGCACTTGTCCCTTAGCTTTTTCACTCAAGGCTGATGCCTTACCACTTGAGCCAAAGCTCCACTTCTGTCTTTTTGGTGGATAATGGGAGGTAAGAATCTCCCAAACTTTCCTGTCCAGGCTGGCCTCAAACCTTAATCCTCAGATCTCAGCCTCCTGGGTAGCTAGGGTTACAGGTATGAGTCATGGGCATCCAACTCATCTGTGAAATCTTAAGTGGGTTCCTCAGCTTTTTTCTATCATTATCTAGATACTGGAACATCACATAGTCTTTATCAAGTTGCTATGAGACAAAGCAGATACAGCAAGTGCAACCACACACACACACAGACACACACACACAGACACACACACACACACACAGAATGCAGAAAATCTGGGATCTTCTATATCTCTTGGCCACTATGGGTATCTTAGCAGTGGCCTTGGGAAGTCAGGAAGAAACCACGTGGCCAGAAGCAGGCCAGAACTAGAGTCTTGTGTATTTCATAGAGGAAACCCTGAAGTCCTTAAAAATAGTCACTCAACAAGGCTACATGTGAGATACTGGGAATCCCAAGTTGGGTACTCTCAAGAGCAAGTGTCACCGGCTGTTGGGATGAGGAGAGCCCTTCCTGGTAATTGAAGTCACTGAGGCAAAGAAGAGAAGTGGGGTACTCCCTAGAGAAATGACATTAACTCTCAGAGCGAGGGGAAAGCATAGTAGTAAGAGAAAGGAATCTGCTGAGTGTTAGAGAGACTTTACTAAATAAGAAGGGAGCTATTGCTGTTTTTTCACAGAGGCCATTTGAAGAAAGGAATGGCCAAGGAAGAGTAGTTGGAAGTGGAGGATAGGATGGTTTGGAATAGGCAGGAATCTAGGAAATCAGTCTGGTGATCACTTGGGCACAGAAAATAAGAGCCTGGAAAGGCAAGAAAAGGGAAAAGGATACAGCCATGAGAATGAGCTTCTGCGCTCATGGTGATCACAGAGGACTTTGAAGGATGGCTTCTTTGCCTGCTTTCTGAGCACTTTCTCTCTTTTTTCTTCCTGTACAACAGCCTCTCTCCTCCAGACAGAAGATCACTGGTTTGGATTTCATTCCTGGCCTCTTCCCTGCTCTGAGTTTGTCCAAGATGGACCATACACTGGCAGTCCATCAACAGATTCTCACTAGGTTGTACTCCCAAAATGCGATGCAAATATCTAATGACCTAGAGAACCTCCGGGCCCTTCTCCAACTGCTGGCCTCCTTCAAGAACTGCCCCCAGCCCCAGATGAGTAACATGAAGATCCTGGAGAGTCTGATCAGTGTCGAGGAAGCCTTTCGCCACTCCACGGAGGTGGTGGCCCTGAGCAGGCTGCAGGGGTCTCTGAAGAACATATTGAAGCAGCTGGATCTCAACCCTGGGTGCTAAGGCCCTGAGGGCCACTTTTCCTTCCAAGGGCCACGTGGAGGGAAGAGACTGGCTTTCATCTGTCTCCAGGAAGTAAGAGCTTTATGGGGACACCCCTTATTTGGGACTATGTTCATTTCTGTCATTCCTCTAAGCCATCCTTTAAGACTCCATGTTATTTAAACCAAAGCTCTATACACAATTCCATGCTCACCTCAAAGGAGTCCCAACCAGCTCAGCATGGATCGTACCTATAATTTTCATCAAATTCTTCAGCTATTGACAAGAGTCGTCCCTATCCCCTGTTCCATCTCTCTGTGCATGCTTCACTGTGACCAGGGTGATTTCAAAGGCCTGTTTGGCCCTTCAGAGCCTTTAGATATTCTCAAAGTTCTATCTGAAAACTCTAGGGAGCCCTATGAAGGCTACATCCACCTCACAGTTGGAAACTCCCAAGGAACACAAGCATTTGTTTATTTATCATGCATTTTACTCTAGATGGCTTTGAAGTAAAGCACCAGCTTTTTCTAGGCTTTGAGGTTAGCCAGGGCTGGGGGGAATACTCTTGGAGGGTGCTATTTCTAATTCCATTGATGAGTGTGGTTGAAATAAACCCACTTGGAGTGGCTGGAAGATTAGGGTTAGGATTGACTGAGCAAAAACCAATCAAAGCAGCTCTCTTCTCTGGTGACTGACTTTGTTTCTGATGTGACTGACTTTAGGTTATAGTGTTTGCAATGGCATTGCCCTGAGTGGATCCTCAAGGGCTAGGATAGTCTTAAAGAGAAGATAAATTTTGTCAGGTGTAATGTGTAGCTGTGTACAACATGGGGGTGGGGAGGTAGGAAGGATCTAGAATGTGTCTTCTGAATAACATCTGGGTGCTAGGCTTTTGGGAAATGATGATGTCATTTTCATATCACAAAAAGAACAAAGGATGTAGCTCCATGAAGGGAGGGTCCTGAAGAAAGGGTTTGTCAATATGTGACGGTCACATATTCCAGACAATGATCCCCAGGGCAGGAGTCCCCCTGTGGAGCTCTGAGTGGTCCAGGGTTGAGCTCACACTAGGACACTGTCCCAATTTGTGAAAGGGTGGTTCTCATCTGACTGACTCATCCCAGCAAGACCATTTCCCACCTATTCTGTGGGGAGTAAGAAAGCCAGTAAGAAAGCCAAAGTCCTTTGCCAAATGCCCCCCAGCATTGGGACAGTACTGCTGGTGAGTGCCAGGGCCCCAGGCCCAGCTGCCAGCATGGCCCTTCTGCTGGAGGTCATGTTGACAAGGTTGAACAAAGGAATTTGGGTTTTTCCACCAGCTTGCTGCCTTGATGTCACATCGCTCTGTGAGTGATGATTCTGCCCAAGCAAACTTGAATCAAAGCAATATACTTTAAGACTGGGCACTGCTTTGTGCTCAACCCTAACTGGTGCTGTGAGCTTCTGAAGCTCACCAGATAAATGTGGAAGTCAGCCATACTGATTTTCACCAGAGTGCAAAGGCACAGTGCCGTCTTTAGTGGGTGGGAAATGAGATGAAAATAGCAGTGCCCAGGAGCCCACAGGGAACTCTGCTTGCACTCTGTAGCACGTGCATACTTTTCAGGGCACATTAGCATCTATTGCTAGGTAGCACATCCTGTTGATGCAGGATCACTGCAACTGTAAAAATAAGAAAATACTGACTAAGCATTCATATTCAAAATCCTTGGGACCAGGGTATTTTAGATTTGGGATCTTTTAGGGCTTTTTGGATTCTTAGTCTGGCAATGGAATATAAGTATAAACATAAAATTCATTTACATTTTATATATGTCTTATACACACTTTGAAGATTATTTTATACAATATTTTAAAATAATTTTGTGCATGAAACAAGGCTTAATGGAGTGGAATTTGACACACATGGTATTTTGTCAGCACTCAAAAGTTTTGTATTTTGGAGAATTGCAAATCTTATTTTGGGTGATGGGAGGTGAAGAATGCATATCCTGTACCTAAGACCCTAAAAGCCAACAGATAGCAGAACCAGGCCTAGAGCACAGGTCCTCAGAGCCCCGAAGTGTTCTTCCAGCCAGGTACTGCTTTCTGGAGATAGACTGGTACAGGAGAGGTCACATGTGCTAACTGGAAGAGAAGAGTTAGAGGATGGATTTTAGAGAGGTAGATTTCCTGCCAAGAGGAGGCTGTCAATAAAAGCTTGATATAGGGAAATACAGCAAGTGACAGTGGAAAGCAGAGAATGAGGAGGGATGGGAAATGGCATGTTGAGGAGGCCTTGAGGGACACAAAATCTGAAGGTCTGGAGCAAAGGAGGCATGGGTGGCAGGGGCAGGCAGCTCTGAGAACTGAGCAGATCACCTTGGCACCTTACCAGGCTAAGAGGTCTTGAGCCTTTTGCTCATAAGACTTGGAACAGAGCTCATTCCCAGAATATGAAACTTCTCACAGGAACATGCTTATCCTTTTATGGTTTTTGTAAGAATAACAATAAAAATTTTTGAAATCAAATAAATTAACTTGTTTCTGTTGCTTGATATGGAGGGGCTTCAGGAGAGTTGTTTGTGTGCAACAGGGCAAGACCTGTCACTGGAGTCAGCGCCACCCAAGCTTGGCCACGGCCAGCCACCAGTTATTCAGGCAAAGGATTACCTCAAATCCCAGGGCTGGTGAACAAGCACAGTCTGCACCAGGGACAGCAAGGTTCTGCAAATCAACCTCAAACACCGGCAGATTGTTGAAAAACAATAACAACAACAAAGACAAATACCAGACAACAAAACCTAAGGAAACAATCAAACAAACAAAAAAAGCCCAGTGCCAGGGCCTGTAATCCTAGCTACTCAGGAGGCTGAAATCTGAGGATTATGGTTCAGAGCCAATCTGAGCAGGAAAGTCTGTGAGACTCTCATCTCCAATTAACAATGAACAACTATAGCTAGATGTGAGCTATAGCTCAAGTGGTAGAGAGTGCTAGTCTTGAGCAAAAAAATAAAAAAAGCTCAGGGACAGCGCCCAGGCCCTGTCAAGCCCCAGGAACCCTCCATACACACACACACACACACACACACACACACACACACACATACACACAAAGCCCTCTTCCAGATCACAGACTTGAATTCACATGGATGGTAAAGTAAAAGAGGACAAGGACTCTGGAGGTGTTGGGGACCTCTTTTATAAAAAGTACTAATCTCACTTATAAGACTCCCACCTCATGATCTAATCGCTCCAAAACCCTCACCTCTAATATCATCACTTAGGGAGTTACAATTTCAACATGAGAATTTCAGGGTACACAGTCCATTGCCCTGGTGTATGAGCTTGGGGAATGGGAAGGGAGCCCCAAGCTTCTGAATGAGAAGAGACTACAGAAAGGAGCTATCAGATTTGGCTTTGGCAGGTTTAGTGGGTAGCTTGGCAGTTCAAAGAAGAAGCAACCTCTGTGCCAGTTGGAGCTCTTGAGCTGTTAATGACAGAAATCCAAAGCAAACCAACCTCGATGGAAAAAGACTGCATCTGCCCAGGTTGATACAAAGTCCAGACCCCACACCATCTTCATGGCCTTTCCCCTGCACCTCTCTTCTCCAGGCAACCCCTCCCTCCTATATGGTGGCATAGATTGCTCCAAATCTCCAGGCTTGTGAATCCTTAATGCCCAGGCTCACAGGAGAATTATGTCTTTCTCAGTCTTTAGTGCCAGTGAACACCTTGAGGAGGGCATGTGTTATAGGGCCACATATCCACACCGTTACCAAAGATGGTCTTAAAATAGAGGATCAAGGGGCTGGGAAGGTGGCTCAGTGGTAGAGTGCTTTGCCTTGCATGCATGAAGCCCTGGATTCTATTCCTCAGGACCACATAAGCAGAAAAAGCCAGAAGTGGTGCTGTGGCTCAAGTAGTAGAGTGCTAGCCTTGAGCTGAAGAGCTGAGGGACAGCACCCAGGCCCAGAGTTCAGGCCCCACAACCGACCCCTCTCCCCCCAAAAAATAGAGGATCAAGGATCCCACCACAAGATGTAAAGTGGACAAATAAGTAAAATGAACTTGTAAATATAGAAACCATACATGCACAGCCTCTCATGCTCTCTGGAGTCCCATGACATTTATGGCTCTGCTTAAGAAGACTTTGAGCCCCACCCCTCACTCCTGTGACTCCCTGCCACAGACAGCTCATCCTTGTGAGCCCTGTGCCAGCTGGGGGACATGGAGAGGGGTGGTGAAGGACTCACTACCCTCGCATACTGGTTCTTAGTATTCCACATTCATGTTTTCCTCCATACTCTCTTCCATCCTCATTCTCCCAGACTCCCACTGCCACCCCCAGGCAGCAGCTCACATCTGTCCAACAGCTGGCAGAGTCTGAGTATAGCACTGGCCACATTCACTCTCCAAAGGAAAGTCTTTGCCAACTCTGATGGGAGAAAAAAAAGCCAGATGTATCCAACAGAACCTTTCAAAACCTAGAGGCCTTAGTGGCTTTCAACTTAACAGCATGCAACCAAGAAAAGAATCCTCATTTTCTACAAGTAATTTATTCCAGGCTTTTAACATCAAGAACCAAGTCTAAGGTGGCAATATCCAAAAGAAATGTACACATTACCTGACTTAGGAAATTATAACCCTTCTGTACATTATCTTTGTAATAATTTAAACATATTTTTTAAAAAGAACCAAGTCTAAAGATGACCACCAACATAAATTCACCTGAGATGCTCCTGAACATTGTCATTCTTCATTCCCCGAGGCCTCAGCCCTGGGAACTCAATCTGTCAGGCTTGGGTTTGGTAGAACCAAGGGTACCAAGAGAACTGACTGAGCACCTAACCCTGGCCCTTGACTCGACCCCAGATCATCAGTTCCCACTAGAGAATGCTTGACAATTGGGTCTCCCTTGTCATCTGTACACTGAGACAGGTCTTTAGAACATTATATGATAAAATGTTTGGGAACCCATTAGCCCAAGGACTGGAATACAGAAAAGCATTCAACGCATTGCATTCTTGTCATTACTATTAATAAATCAGGGACATGAAGGGAAGAATTTCTGTAGCAGAGAGGTTCACAGTAGATGTAACTTCCAGTTTCACTGTCCCTGTCCTGACTTAGGTTTACTCCTAGCACAAAGCACCAAGCCAGGAGCATATCTCTATGAGTAAAGAATAGGGTTCTGTGGATAAATGCCCACATAGCAACTAAGAGGGCCATCTGTATGGCACTGAGGCCCAGGTACCCAGCCCAGGAACCAGATAAACAAGGAACTTTTACCTTCTCCTGGCTTGGCCCTACCCTGCTCTCCCTAGTCTTCACTTCTGCCTCCCAGGTACATCTCCCAAATCAATCCCCTATACTGAATTCTTGTCCCAGACTCTGTTTTTGGAAGAGAAATGAACAGAAAGTGGGTACAGACATAACTGGGAAGCAAGGATCTAGATTGGTACAGG